CCGCTGCCGTGGTACGACTTGCCGTAGACGTAGAAGACAACCGAAACATCCCACAAGAACCGGTAAGGCCGCCGTGTGGTCGCTACACTCAAAGGGGTCGACTGGGGGAAGACCTGCTAGCTGCAGTCCAAGACTAAGAGGTAGTCTGCGAAGGAGACCTACTACGTCTTCGTCCGTGGTATGTCATGGCTCCAAACCTAATGCCTCTACAATGTGACTAAGACAAGAAAAGAGAACTCTTGTGGCCTGTGGAACTAGCAACAACATAAATATATTTAGCCTAGTCGAATTTTTCTCGACTGCTTGACCGTGGTATGTTGTGGCTCCAAGCCTAATGACTCTATAGTGTGACTAAGACAAGAAAAGAGAACTCTTGTGGCCTGTGGAACCAACAACAATATAAACATATTTAGTCTAGTCGCCTTTTTTCTCGACCATTTGAGCCAAAATATTAAAGCAGCCGAGTCGCAGTTGCAGAGCACCACGGCATATCTCGCTTGCATCATGAGCATATGGATGTACACAAGCGCACGATTTTTCTTGCGTTCGTTAGGCAGCAGAAGTCTCACGGAGTCAATACAACAACGCAAACGGACAAGGACGCTTCACTATTCCGCGTCAGCTAAAAGACCAGGTCTCCTATATGCAGCACTGGCTTTCCTTAGATTTGTATTCACAATATAAAGCAACTGTCAATTGTGCATGACTATATCAATAAAAGAACATACTGTTTTTCTACAAGAGAGCGAGAAATGTCTGATTTGCAGTCCACCACTTTGCTCCAGCATCCACTGCAGAGCTTTCCGCTCCACAACCTTGTTATCTTAACCGCAAGCAAGTTCGTAGAGCCTTCCCGCAGCAAAAGACCCCAGCTAAACTTACGTGGGTCTCTGCTTTGTGAAATAGACATGCTTGATGATCGTGCAGTTGCCATGCGACGCTCCTGAATGAAGTGCTGTGTCTTGTAGTCAAATTTGGGATTGCCTTTCAACTTCATGAGAACAGGCAGATCGCTCCAGGCCTTGAAAATGCCTTTGAGATTAAAGTTGTCCAGGTCAGCCTTTGCAATGTCGTGGCAAACATCAAGGAAGGGAGTCATGAGCTGGGCTGCTGATGAGAACTTTCGTGTCATAAAAAGTGTATTGTCGATCTCACAAGGTTTAAGAGGTGGTTTATTTCATATTTAGGAGTCCAATAAGAAAAAGGTTAATATCGTGTATGAGTGACTCATATATAGGCAGATTCGTAATGTTGACAGTACCCAGTGGTATTGGCCCAACGCACACGCGATCGTGAAGCTCGCGGAGTATCATTTGCTCCGTGGCCTCTTTGGCCTGTGCGAAGTGGTGTTGTCCGCGTCCATGGCGGGAAGGGACAGAAGTGCGAGTGGATTGCTAATATTTGATCATATTTGATCTTTTGAACAGCTATGTGAGTACGCTTTAAATGTATGCATAT